CCTAAACGCATTACATAGAGTAACCATAGTGCAGATTGTACTGCAAATTATAGTAAAGAGAAATAATGAACAGTAGAAAAACATGACTAAGGGGTTAAGACATACAAAGAACAAGAATAAAACATTTTAGCATATCTAATCAGAGTATCAGAAAACACTCCAGAGAACAGAGATAAGACAATACAGAAAGAGATAATGGTTGATGCATTTCTAAAACTGATGAAAAATATGAATCCACAGAAGATAAAATTCTTAAGAAATTATATAGTTTGTCATTTAAAGAGACAGTGAACTTGGAAAATAAAAAGTTGTTAAGGCATACAAGATTAAGGTCTAACATAATCAGAACATCAAAAACAGGAAAACAATAGAGACACCAGGAGCAAGGCAATAATCAAAAAGATAATAGCTGGTAACTGTCCTAAAGTTATGAAAATGATAAATTCATAGATAGAAAAAGTAATCAAGATAAAAAAAAACTCCAAATCTACATGCACTGCAGTGAAACTACTACAAAAAATACTAAAAGAATTTTAAAGAGACAAACACAATCACCTGTTATGTAACAGATGACTTCTGAATAGAAGTAATGGGCTCAGTAGACAATGGAATGCCATCTTCTGAGCAGTAAAAGAAATTACACTATCAACCCAGAGTTATGGACAGAGCCAAGCCACCTTCAAGAATATAGACAAAGGGCTGAGGGGTCGTGGCTCAGTGGTAGCATACTCGTCTGGTATGTATGAGACACTGGGTTCAATCCTCAGTACAACATAAAAATACATAAAATGAAGATATTATGTCCATCTAAATTTTAAAATATTTAAAAATACAGACAAAATACATTTTTATCCTTCATTAAAAGAACTTCTAAAGTGAAAATGACCCCCAAAGCAAAGTCTGAGGTGGAAAAAGAAATGATAGTAATGACAATAATTATTTGAAAATTACATAGCTAATTCTACACAACACGGGTTTTTTTTTAAAAAAAAAAAAAGACTTAACAGCATATAGGTCAGAGGGAAGTGATAGATATTAAAGATATTTCTTCTTCCAATGCTGTGTCCCATACTCCTGCTTTGAGAAATCCAGTGCAGACTATATGCACACACCAGCGCTGAGCTACAACAGACAGCAATGTTGGCTGTGATCTCCTCAGAAGTCTTGTTAAAACCAAGAGCCAAGCCACAAAGGATTTGTAAGTATAGGGAAAAGTGCAGAGCACTCCAGACAGAGAAAACACAAAAGGTTCAAGAGTAGACAAGGAAGGAGGCATACCCTGTTCTTCTTTATTATATCATTGCACATGTTCTTTTAAAATCTCTAAGACAAAACAAAACAAATACCTCCTGGAAGCAGCAGCATGAGTAGAGCAACTGTGGAAAGTGTCCAAGATTTAGTATGACCTTGGGCTTTCTGAAGGCTTCATCCTCTTATGTTGTAATATGTAATGCTACTCTTGCATATATCACTAATGTCACAGGGGAATGCTATCACACTAGGCATTGGCAATGTGGAACAGCAATTAAATTGCAACGTGGTAGTGAGACATGGCAAGGATGCACTGGGTACTGAGCAAAGCCAAGGGTGGTCGCAGACATATGCTGTCCTCTTGCCTTTTCACACTATTAGCAATGATTCCCCTAGGACAAATACTGATGGCCACCTTGGTTACATTAAGTACTTGGTAGAGTCATCACTGAGTATTTCAGATTTATCAAAAGATTCATCATCAAGAATTTATTGTTGTAAAGATTTTTAATCTAACCAAGTCAATTTTAAAACATCACAAGAAATAGTCAAATCAATTTTCTTCGTACCAATCAAAATTTCAACACATAAAACTAGACAGGGTATTTTTGACCCATAAAAATTACCATAATCCGTTTTTCCAAAACACTAGAAAAACTGTTATTGTTTCAATGAAAAGCACACAGAGAAATAGTCATGAATTACCTATATATATACCAGAATTATACAAGTATAATCTAACAGAAGGAAAAGAGAAGAAGAAAAACCTTTCAAACATGCATTCTTTTTTCTGAACTGAAAAAAATCAAACACATTCTGCATAGATTCTATGATCTGCAACATGTCTTTCCTGCTTCACTAGGAAGTGTTTATTGCCTTAAAAGTTAATCATTGGTTATTCTGTTGTATTTAGCCAACTGAGGCCTATTAACAAGGCACACACAAATCCCTCATCTAAGAAAATACTCCTGAAAAAGTACACACTGAATGTTCTCAAAGCAAAGCAATTCTTTCTCACTGTACTATACACAGCCATGGTATGTACGAGATCAATGCTACAGCATTCTCCCTTTGAATTTTTAAGTTTATCCTGAATATATAGATTAGTGACATCAGGAATGGTAGATATCACATATTACCAAGGACACAAAATCCAAATATGTTATATGTATGCTACATGTATAAAGAAATTTTTACACTAACTGAAAATACTAAGATGGTTTAAATTATCGTAATTTATTGATTTTAATTTCTTAGGGTAATAAAATGTTTTGGGTTACTATCTTTGGTATTCCAAAAGACATAAAAGCCTTTAGTAGTCATATAAATAGAAAATTTTTCATAAATATTTTTAAATGTCAATTAAAAATGACTATAAACAAATGTACATTTTGATTAGCATTAATATATTAAGATTTTTTAATCTAACAGGCAGATTTACTACTTTATGTCACCATGAGATAATTAAAAATGGATAATACCATTACTATTAAACAAGAATAGAGACTCCAATGATGATTTAATAGCCAGCAGTGGTAGCCCCTTTGATAAACACTCATAAACCAATTTAGCCCTATTTATACATTGTCTTCTATTGCATATCACTTGAGATCACATTCCTTAAAGGGAGAGGCCTTGCATTAAATACTTCTACACTACCCTTCTAGTTCAAAAACAGAGTTGATTTCATACTTATTGATTAATTAACAGCCACAGTATAACAGATATTTTCCATAGCAATTAGAAGATAATTAGGATGTGGGTAAAGTAAGCTAAATGGACAGATAGTTATGCACGACACAATAAAGAACAAGACCATAACTGTGACTTTGAAATACCGTTCAGAAACAGAGCAAATGAGTTTATGCAGCAAAATCATTTTCAGAAGGTCCTCACAACAAAATTTATCACACTACTATTGCTTAACTCTAAAATCATTTTTGTCTTCCATGTGATGCTGCATTTTGTACATATTTCTATAATGCTATCTCATGTCTGTATAAAGTGCCTTATTCATACAAGCATGAGAAGAGCCGTACTATTCAAAATCCAAAGGAAAATAAAAATGTAATTTTCCGCTCCTTCTCGGTTAATACACACAGTACTTTGCTAACAAAAACAAAGGTCATCATCTGTTTTACTTTTCATTAACACTCATGAATGACAGCAATTTTTTTAGAAATCCTGTTAGAAAAATCCTGTACCAAGTTGGCTTTAAAATTAACTTTAACAAAATTCATCTTTTTCTCTGATCTTCTTCAGTCTCTCAGTCAAAATCATGCACCAATTATATTTTTTGAAAACCAGTTATGATGCAAATTAAGTGACAAAGTATGATAGTGGCAACCTTACTGTACCTTTCCCATTTTAAATATATGACACAGGAGGGGACAAAAGCACACTGTGAAACATCTTTGTGGGTCTTCTAACAATGGCCTCTTACTAGAATTTCTTTTCCCTTCATATAATTATATTGTTTTTTGAGCTCATCTACTCTTCAAGATTAAATAATGTTTATATCTTATACCCCCTCCAACACTTCAAAAGTGAGCTTGTACCTCTCCTCTTTCACATCTTTTTTCTCAGAACGCCAAAGCACTTCATTAATTTATTTTACAAAACTCTTGAAGTCATTGGTACATCAGGCACTGGGGGCTGATGAGTCAACCAGACAACCAAAGAGCTCTGGACACCAAACCAAAACTTAGTACACCTCTAGCTTCTGAAAACTAGTTGGAAAATCAGTCAAGGCCCTATTCACAGGTCACGGGATTTTAAAACAAACTAACAAATCATAAACATAAAAATCCTTTCCCACAAAGAAACCTGCACAAACACACATTGTACTTTTCAGAAGGTGGAAGTATGACTGGTCTTGTTCTTTTAGTTTGGGAGAGTTTAAACACTGGGGACATCTAAATCTTGATAAAAACTCCTGAGGGCAATTTGATCAGACAGAAAAATCCTTCCTCCAAAGAAATGCACCTTGTGCCACTCCAAGGAGAGATTTATTTAAAGTAAAACCTGCCCTGAATCATTACCACTGACTTGGAGAAGAGAATACAAAAGCCAGTTGGCTTCACGGGGCTTTCAAATATTTTGCTCTAACCCCAGGACCACAGAAGCTTTTCGTGAAAATTCTACTCATCTCTACTACAGTATCACAGCAATGGTAAACTCATACACACACAAACACACACACACGTCTCTACTTCCATTCCTGTGCTTCTCCCTTTGGTGTCGGTGACCCAAAATGTGGACACAATGTTACAAAAAGCAAAGTCATGGGGCAATGCGTGCGGGACCGGGGGTGGGGTGGGGGGTATAAAGGATTGAAAGATCCAGAAAAGCAAGGGTGTAAAAGGTAGCTGGCTCTTCAGTTATCATAAAGCAAACCTTAATTCGGGTGGGGATACAGAATGCAGAGGCAGAAATAAAGCTGTCTAGGATGCCCACTCTGTCACCGCCTTCCTCCTCTCTGCCCTCCATCACCCCATCCTGTCCTGGAGGACCACCTCAGGGCGAGGGGGCGCCTCTCACGGTGCCCCCACCCTCACCCTAGAGGAGAAAGAAGCGAAATGGGGCTGGAATGAATAGGGGCTGGGCAGCGGGTGAGGGTCACGCCAGGCTCTAGGTGGAGACCCTGCGGGTGGCCGGCGCTGAGCTCGGGGGCGGCCCCAGCGAGGCTGAAGGGGGACCGGGGGAGGGTCTGGCCCCCGCCGCTTCTGGGGGAGGCTCCAGTTACTCACATTCTCAGTGTCCCGCTCGTTCACCGTTGGCAATGGCGTCCGGGCCGACATTTTGTGCGGGCGACGAGGCTGGGCCGGGGTCTCTCCGGTCGGGTTGGGGTGCGGGCCCCGGGGGGCGAGAGGAAGGGAGTGCAGACACGAGCGCCAGGCCCGGCCGCGGCGAGCGGCTCCCGCAGGCCGCGGGCGGTGCAACAAGCGGCCCCGGCGGGGGCCGGAGGGGAGGGGACGCGGAGGAAGAGGAGGGGGTGCTGCTTCCCGCGGCGCCGCCGCGGGGGGGACGCGAGCAGGGACGAGGGAGGGCTCCCGGCGAGGGCGGCTGCCCGGCGCGGGCCAGGCAGCGAGGCCGGCAGGATGCGGCGGCGGCCGGTGCGCGGCGGGGAAGGGGAGGTGGGGGGGGGGGCGAGGCCCCGCTAGGCTATCCGGGCCATGGCTGAAGGTGAACCCGACGCCGCGAATCACTGCCTAGCTCGTCCCGGAGAGCGCGGCTCGGCAGCGGGAGCCGCGGCCCTAACAGCGCCGCCCGCGCCGCTCCCCGCGCTCCGCGCCCCGCCTCAGGTGTGCGGCTCCGCCCGGCCCAGCCGCATCCACGCGCCCAGGGCCCCGCGGCGGCGGCGCCCCGGCTCTCGACGCCCAGACCCACGGCGCGCGCGTCCCTACTCGGTCCGCGCAGTCACCGCCGCCGCGCCCCAGCCTGGAGGAGCGGCCCGAGCCGGCTGCGCGCGGAGCGGCGGGCGCGGCACGCAGCGCCCAGAGGCACTTGGCGGCCGCCGCCGGGTGGGCGGGCGCCAGCCGAGGGGCCTCTCCATTCATTCCCTCATTAGGGATGCGGAGCCGCCTCCTCCTCCTCCTTCCGCGCTCCTTAGCCCGCCTGCCCCTGTTTATTTTTGTTTCTCGCCCCACCCGCGGAGTTTACGGTGCTCTAAGAGCCTCTGTTGGTTTTTATTTTTATTCGTGTTTAGTTTTTGCTGGGTTGGGGTGACAGGGAGTAATATTCCCCCCCCCCTTTATTTTTTTTTGGTCCATTTCATTGGGGAAGGATTGTGTAGGATCCTGCCCTGGATTCTACACCTCCTCTCTCCTATCTCGGGGACTTCTCCCATTCTTAAATCCTCCTCTGCCCGAGTGCTCAGGCTTTCTCAATTCTTGCCCCAGCCAGAACCCTCTTTCAGTTCCCTTCTCCTGGGAGCCGTTGGTTCAGGGTCACCCTCACAGTTGGGACAAAGGGCACAAAAGCCCCCCCCCCCCCCATGCACCAGCAGCGTCGGAGTGGTTCCTTTTATACAAGGAACTCGGCCCGGATGGCGCGATCTCCTTGCGAATGGGGCGCGTGGAAGAGGACTCCCTCATTCCTACAGCACCCCGGGAGTGGGAGAGACCCAAGAGTCACGACATTTACACTGGCTGGTCGTCACTTCCTGGGATACAAGGAAGTGTCACTTTGGCGAGCTTATTTATTAGGGAGGATGGAGAGCCATCTCGGATTCTGGCCCTGTCCTACACCTTCCAGGTGGCTTTCTCACCCTTCCACCCTCCTGCCACTCATTACATCGTGCAGACATCAACGTGTACAGTACAGTGTCCAATACAGAACAGTGTCCAGAACCTATTGGCCCTTTAATAAGCAACGCTGCTTTTCTCTCCCTTACTAGAGAGACTATGTTTTAGCACACTCAGCCTCTAGGACAAAAACCTTACCATCTCTCTAACCCTCTTCTTTCCAATATTTCTTTTTCACATGCTTTCACAGATAGGCAGGAAAATAAAAGGAGTAATAGATATGAGAAGATAAATACATTTTTAGAGCTACTTTCATAAGCCTCCAATGGGAATCTTATGTTGGTGGGAAATTCCTCCTCTCTCTCTGGAATTCATCCATTTGAAGAAAGAATTCCTCCACCAGATGGTTTTTATCCTGACTCATTAAAGGTTGTTTCTAAAAAGTTAACACTTGACCCTTAAAACATGGGACCAAAAGACCTAAAAATAGCACTCATCAATTCTCTGAGGGGAAAAAAAATTCTCACCCAGTGTATAGTCGTTTCTAGAACACCATCTGTGTATTTATTTCCTAATATTTTATATTGTAAACATGTCCCAATTTCACAAAGCAAATAAAAATCACAAGACCCCTTTGGTGGTCATCACCACTCCTTAAATAGCATTCAGGCTTTGGAACTGCAAGACTGCAACCTAACTTATGGTGTGTATCTGGAAATACCATGCTTTTATAGTTCTTCTGAATCACCAAAACATATTAAAGTTGCCAGTACATAAGCTTGTACTTTTCTGATCAGCTAGAGTCACTGCTGCCTATAGGGCTGCCCATAAGATGTCATCAGTATCATTGACGATTGCAGCAATTCAAGGGTGGCTTGCATTACAATGGTACTGATGTTGACCCAGAAATAAACATATATCTCTGTAAAGATGCTCAGCCCCATTGGAATATGAATCATTCTTTCAGTGGGTAGCTTGGATCTTGCTCTTCATAGTGCACTCACATATTATCCTTTATCTTATCCTTGTGTTGACCTTGACAGGCATATTTATTTCCATTTTTCAAAATTCCACTAAATTGACTTCTTTGAGAACATGGAAGCATCAGGTTAATGAGATACAGAAGAAGATAACTGGAATATGTGGTACAGTTCAATCTTGCACCAGTCACAGGACCCACAGGGTCAACTCTGTACAATATAATGGCTAATTAAAGACAGAGCTCAAAGGAGAGCCCAGGATTTTGGCACAGTAGCTTCCACAGACTTTAAAGTGTACATTAAAAGTCATGGGCAACTCTTTTAGCTGGATTTGTTATACTGTGCTCACATTACTAAACATTACATAATAATAATAAGGAATACCCACTTTTAAGTCAAGACCTAAAGCAAATTTTATGCCCATTGAACTACCTTCAAAGGGAATCATAATTGGATAACTCAAATCCATAATCATGTCTAACAGAATAGACTAGAAACAACTGTGTACATCAAAAAAAGATATTGAAATAATCCTCCTTAATACCTACAGTCTTAGTACATAATGAAAATGCACTTTGCGTAGGTCTAAAGAAAATTCTTATTTGTGATCTCTTTTCCTTTAAAATGGCATAAGACAGTATTGTGATTTAATCAGAACTTTAACCCTAGTCCTTAATAATGAAAATGCTTACAAGCAAAATTTTCTTGTATAGCTTCTTATACCTGTGACTATGGAGAAATAACAAGAGGAATGTTTTAAGGCTTTTGAGTAATTTTCTTTAAGATTATTAGCCATATGTAGCAGGTTCAATTTAGATTTCTAACTTACAGTGTTAGGGTATTAAAAGTTTCAGAAGAAAATTGTAGTTCTGAGAAAACAAAACAGAAATAAACATATACAAAATCCTAAACGTACACTAAAATGTGGTGAAAGCACATTGTCTACTATCAGCACTGCGGAGTAGAATGTTTAAGAACTACACTGTCCAATACCATAGATCCTAGAAATTTAAAAAGTAATTTGATTCTACATTTGGAAAATTTTAGATTATGTTTGGAAAAACTAAGTAAATAAATCTACCTTGTCCACCATAAATTTTTGAAATCCAAATACAGATCAAGTATTTCTGTTAAAAATTTATTACCAGAATGAGGTTGTGCTATAAAGTACATACAAATTCTTAAACATGTGGTTGGCAAAATGAATGTAAGATATCTTGATAAATATTATACTAATTACATATTAAAATTCTAATATTTTAACACATAGGACTACATAAAATGTTATTAAGTTAATTTCCACTTTTTAATTTTTTCAAGTGCAGGTAATGAAAGATAAACTTACATATGTGGTTCACATTATATCTGTTGGACAGCACTTCTCTATGAGGTCAAAAGTGAGAATAAACAGAGTTAGTTGCTGAAGAATCAAAGGTCTTGATTAGAAGCTATTAGCTTATTCTATGGTAGAGTGGCGCCTAACAGACATTTTGGGGGTGCTACTCTACCACATGCTATACTGTGCTATTCAAAGGGAATATTCCCTACCTATAGTTACTAGTGGTTAACATTGTAATCTTTTCAGAGCTAAAACATGTTGAAATCATACAAATGATTGTTAACAGATTGTCGTCATTTGTAAACAAAGAATTTATCAAATGTGACAGATTAAACAGTTAATAGTTAAGTCATAAAACTACACCCTTATTCTATCATGTGGTTTAAATATGTCTCATGCTTAATAGACTTGGCTGGTCAACAACTCTTTATTGAGGGCACACTTTGTTTCAGGTACTACAGGCTACTTCCAATCTTTGATTTGATCACAATAGAAAACTACAGGATGAACATTTCTATAAGGTAACAAAGAGATATCCCAGCTAAGAGAAACATGATTAATGGCCATCAGTAAAGAACCATTAAGTCTTTTCATAAATAAACTGGATCTTGATTGTGTTTCCATGGTTTACAAGGTACATTTTTTGTGTGTATCAATACTCCCTGCTCAAAATGTAGAACACTGAAATGGACAAGGCCTCAAGAGAAAAGACGTATCTATCGTATTTAAAAAACTTTAAGGCTGTTGTCTTTTACATTTTGCAATATGTATGGGTCATGGAAGGACCTGAAAGTCCTGGTGATTATTTAAATGACACTTGTCTCTACTGCCATCAGTTGAACAGAGACACACCAGCCCAAGAATCAGCCCAATGCACTTTCTAGGCTATGCCACTCCACACTCACAAACACAATCTAAGTCTAAGTGATATTTACTCTCCTACCAGCAGATTCAGCAGCATTAGACTGTTTGGAATTCCCCAAGCACACCATACTACTTGCCTCCTCCACCCTTGTGTCATCTGTTCTCTCTTCCTGAAATGTCCTCCCTACTTTTGTTGCCTGATGACCTTGGAGTTTTAAAAAGGATTTAAAAAATCCTTCCTTTGGAAGCCATTCCCGACACCCCTATTTTCTTCACACTACAGAGTTACCACTCCTATTTGCTCTACCTCTGTACCCTGGACTACCTTGTACACTTGTATTGTTGCTCTCCTTGCACTATCTGAGTGGTCCCCTATGCAACTATGCCTTATATAAAGAAAGGAAATATATATATATATATATATATATATATATATTTTTTTTTTTTTTTTTTTTTTTTTTTTTTTTTTTGCCTAGGCCCTAGCTTGGTGCCTAGAAATTCATAGATGCCAGTTTCTTAAGGGGACTTTATTGATTTGCCCTGTGTTGCAGATTCTCTGGAACTTCCATACACTTTTGAATTCCTAAGAAACATCACATAGGAGTTGAAAATACATTATAAGAGAATAACCAAAGTTTACAGCCAAGAGTAGATAAGAGTTCACATTGATAAACAGATTATCTCCTCAATAAAGTTATTGACTGGGAGGCAAAGTGACTCTGTTCTTTGTCCTGTAGCTTAACATAGTGTTGCTAACTTTACTGCTCTGTAATTTTGCTGTGATCATCCTTTTTTTATCCATACATAGGAATAATTGATCACTGATATTTTAATATAACAGTC